CCACAATGTCTATATTATATCCTGGCCTTTAATTTTAAATCAGATTATATATAGGTATAACTACTTGTAAGAGAAATATAAGGTTAGTATTATATATATTGCTTTTTAGATACCTAATTTTTAATTTTACATAAAATTACACTGTATTTTATATTATTCCAGTAAATAATAGAGTAGACTACTTCTGATTAATGCTGTATGCTGTAAATACTTTATAATTATAGTATATAAAATATCTCTTTAATATCTTTAAAGCTTGTTGAGGTATGAGCGTACAAAAAAACGCATTTTGTATGGGTATTCTAGTGATCGGAGCAACCGGGTGATCGAAACAGCCGGGAAATACGTTATATAGGAGTATTACATAATCCAGGAGTCTAGAGTTGCCTGACTCCTAGAATTGAGCTCTTTAGAAGCCAATTGCCTCTCCAACCTCTCCAAAGCCCGTATCTCCTCAATTCTAGTATCCTCGCAGTGCTCCTTATAGCGAAGAAGCGTACGAAGCCCATCTAGAGCCTGTTGTAAGATGGCACTGCTATAGGCGCTGATCCCTCCTCGATATCAGACTGAGCCTCCTCCACAGTATCCGTACTCCCATCACTAGTATGATAGGCAATAATTGACTGTAAAGTATCCTCTTCGCTCTCCTCAAAATTTTCGTCCGGAGGGTTGAGAAAGTTACTAAGGCTCATCATGTCCCGGATTTGACCTGCCTCTCGAACCCTAGTATAGAGGCTTGAGAGATCTGGCTGTGGCTCTGTTGGTAGGTTCGAGATTTGAGGCTGGATAACAGTGCTTTTTCGGAAACAGTTGTAGATCGTAGTATGAGAGATATCATGATTCCAAACCCGAAGAACCCAATGAACTGCATGGTATAATGAAACTGCTGTAAATGGATCTGTATTATTCTCAAATCCCTGGATAATAAAGCGTAGCCAGTACTTCCGGTAGTGGGTTTTGAGATTTTGGATGATTCCTTGATCGAGAGGTTGATAAAGGCTCGTAGAATTAGCAGGAAGCCACTGGATCCGAATATTAGATGGAGGAGGTGCCAGTTCTATGCCTTCAACATGGGCTTTGAAGTTATCCATCAATAAGAGGACCGTACGACTCCCAATATGAGAGTAGAAAGCAAGAAGCCACTCTCTCATAAGAGGTGAAGTCATCCATGCCTTCTTATTGGATCTCCAATATCCTCCAAGAGCGCTTATATTGAGTCCTCGTAGAGAATGGGGTCGCTTTGCATTTCCAATAAACCATATTGGAAGCCGGTCAAAGCCAGTACAATTTTTACAGGCTACAATAGTAATCCGGCTCTTTTCCTTCTTGATTCCAGGCTGAGGTTGGGTCATAAGCCCAGAAGAAGGTCCCCTTCTCCAGAACAAGCCAGTCTCATCCATACTATATATATCTTCCTCAGAATATTCGCCACATAGTGTCCGGATAGCCTTCATCTCTTCGACCGCTGTATTCGCTGAAGAAGCCTCTCCGTGTTGGGTCCGTTTTCAGAGATTATTTATGGCGATGTTTAAAGCCAGTGAGCCAACCCTGACTAAATTCAGGGACAGGTAGGTGTGAATATTGAGGAATCTGAGGCCAGATTTGACGTGCCTTCTCAATTAGGATATCACCAGTTATAATTCCACCTTGTCGCTCAATTAATTGCTGCCAGTCAAAGAGGATAGCTTCAAGGATTGGCCAGTGAGGAGCCCGTTGGCGGAACGATTCTCGGACAGAGGTTTGTAAGGTAGGATCCTGATCAAGATAGGAGTAACGGTTAGAAAGGATCTCTGAGACTGTAGATTGACTTATCCGATGATTGAATCTTTCATAGAACCACTCTATACAGTCTTTGTGACGAGGCCGTGGATATCGATGAAAATACCAGGCCCGTAGTGCCTTCCGCTGAGAGTCAGAAATTGCATGACGAGGCATTCTATTGGTTCCTGGATTAATTGGATATAACGATATTTTGCCCAAAAGATAGCGATATCGTAAGTATCGAGAGATTGAGGAATTTGTATGGGAAAATAATTGTGGGTGACGGGTAGTATCGCTATAACCAGAAAATCGTTATAAGGGGGTTCGTTATAGCGAGAGGCGACTGTAATTGAATACTCCGAACTGGAACCCAGTTGGATGGCCTTTCGGAGACGCCCGTCATCGATATCAAAGTTTCGAAACTAGGTGAATTAGTATACAAGATCTCTATATCTATCTAATAGTTAATAGCAACGCTGTCTAATGCTGGTATCATATGCATAGTGCCAGAATGCATGTCCTCGAGGACAGTAGAAAGATGCGACTAGTCCCTCTATCACGTCAGATTTCGGCGAATAATTCGTCGCTTTTGGAATATGTATGTAATAACTGGTCCTGCCAGATCACCGCTCGGCAGGCCAGAACAGCCACGCCACCGCAATGCACACCTTAATAAACCCCCCAATCCACAGCGCGCTCTGCATCTCCGCTTCACTACGACACAGCCACCCGGCAGCGATGGCGCCGACCAGGATGGCCGTGACAGACCCGATGCGGCGGTTGCGCTTGACGTTCTTGCCCAGCCCATCCGTCAGCGCCGGATCGGACGCGATGTCGAAGTAGACGGACGTCAGCACGACGGTGGGCAGCTCGTTGAAGCCCATGGCGCGGCTGGCAGCGATCTGCCCGCCGAACTGGAACGCCAGCAGCGCGAGCGGGATCAGCTCGAGGAAGAGCTTGCCTCCGGCCGGCTCGAGGTTGAGCGCATGCGGGATGGCGCCGCTCTGGATGATGGCGGCCGCGACGAGGATGAACAAGCTCTGAATGGCGAAAGACGCAGTCAGCGTGCGGCGCTGGCGCGATCCCACGCGCCGCATCACCGTCGCAAAGGTGAACGAGCCGACGAAAAACGAGCAGATTGACACAAGCGACTTGAGCCAGCCGAATGGCTTGCTGGTTGGCAGGCCGGACGCGCCCAGCCCGACGAAGATGGTGTTGCCCGTCTGCATGGAGATGAAGCAGCCGAACGTTGCGTACGAGACGCCGTCACTGAGGCCGGTGATGAGGGAGCAGAGGACGAAGATGATGTCGGCGTGTTTCTGTGAGATGGTGTCTGCCCACCATTGCGTGCGCTTGACGATGGATTTGGACCGGTTGGCTTCGACGTCGGCGTCGGCGTCGGGCTCTGTCGGCCGCTGCGTCTTGTCTGTGTCTGCCATCATATATAAAGATGAAGATCTTGCAAAAAGAAAAATAAGACGACAGATCGAAGAAACTTTGCCGCGTGACAGTCAATTAATATTAATATTAATAATATTCTTTTCTTTGTGAGATGGATGACTCAACGGAGGCGAGAATTAAAAATAAGCTTAGATGAATACTCCTCCGTAGATACCGTCCCTATCTATTATCCGCTGGGATTTAGATTCAGACATCAATTTCCATTGAATAATTATCAATGACAATCTCGCAATCTCGCAATCGACTGATCTAAATCTTGGCTTTTTTTTTTCTTAATTGTATTTTTTGGGCGGAAATAATTTTCTTCGGTTCGGCTGCTTTCCGAGATGCTGTCGTAATAGAATTAACTATCGCCGAAGCCGCATCGCATCGCATCAGATCGGGAATGTTTATCGGCTTAATGATCTGCCGGGTACATATACACATACACACCTCACCTCCATTATCCAGACTTCTGTATGTACAGGGATTTATTCCAAAAATATTATTAACAGATTGTATTATTTTCATTGAAGTTATTTTTTTTTATTTTCACTATTTTTTTTTTAATTTTGCTACGAGGTAGAAGAGTTGACTGGTCTATGCTGCACAGTGCCGTGTTATGTACTTAGTGTAATTAGTTCCGGCTAAATGAATTAGCTACAACTCCGGGTTCAATGGTACCTATACTAGTAGTCGCTCATATACTCCTACATACGCAGATATATGCTGCATGCAAACAGGTACAGATGGCAAATGCAAAAAAGCTGGAGATGGTCGATAGAAGAATTACAACCAGGCTGTCACTGACTTGGGCTAGTAAATACCTGAATCAAGGACAATCCTTAAATTATGTACTATACTATACTACCCGTATTATGAAACTAAATACATCCATCATCGTATATAGACAATAGACAATAGACAATAGACAACCAAAGAGGATCCCAGCCTCCATTCCCTGGCATACCTGCAGAAAGCCCGTTCATTCATACACTGTCCTCCGGACCGAAAAGGAAACCCAGTAATAAACAGAAAGAAATAACTTAAAAAAAAAAAACAAAGAACACCGCAGTACTGCTATACAACCATATACTCCCCATCCAAGCCTTCGTTTTCAATAATGCTGCGCCACTTGAATCCACTGCTCGGCCGAAGACACAACTTGGTCGAATTCGGCGCTTGCCACTCGCTCGACTCGCGCACGTTCGACACGGGGCTACTCGACAGCCCCCCGAAATTGCTGGTTGATAGATCGTCACCCGCCTTGATGCTGGGATTCTTCGCCCAGATCTTCTCCAGCAGCTCCAGACACGAGATGTTGTTGAAGAACCCCGAGTCCTTTTGGATGTCCTTGCATCGCCGTCGAATTTGCTCCCGGTGTTCATCGTAGACGCACTCCGCCCCCGTCACGAACAGCGGCCATAGCAGGTACACATCGGAATGCACCGCCGATATATAATGCAGCGCCGTGAGAACCAGCGACTGAATGCGCGGGTGGCTCGATGGAATGTCGGGAAAGGCAAGCCGTTCCGTGTACAGCAGCGCCGAGTACCGGAACGACTCCGAGATGTTGGACAGATCGACAAAGTTGGAGGGCGCCACGAAATACGCTGATGTCGGAGACAGAGGAGGGCTGAAGGTCGCCGACGATGCGCACGAGTTCGGTGACCAAGACGCGTCATATCCTCCCGCAAAAGCAGTCGTGTCCAGTCGCCACGACTCGAGCTGCTGACGCACCGAGTGCCACTCGGCCCAAAACTCGGCACGGTCGCTCTGGTCGGACGGATGATGACACCCTGGCGGCCACGGAGCGAAGGGATCAGCCGCGCCATCGACGGGCACGGCCGACGGCGGCGGCGTATTCATGGTAGTATAATGGCTCAACGACGGAGGCACAATGGGCGTGGCAGCGAAAACGTTGTTGCCGGCTGATGAATCGACCGGCCGGCGCTGGCTGAGCATGTTCAAGCGACCCAGTCGCGCGATAATCTTGAAGAGCCGTCCATCGCAGCCGGCGAGATTCTCCATCGCCCATTCCTCGTCCGACAAGCAGGCCATGTCCAAGTACGCTCCCTGGAGCTGGCCCTCGCGGTTGTTGATCGTGGCCGTAAAGGCATCAAACCACGTAAACATCCTCGTGCACCATCGCGCCTCTTCCGACTGGATCCCCCGCCCACGACGTCGCATCGCGAGCAGCTTGCGAACCCCCGCGAATTGCGTCTGGAACTGGGCCACTCCCGTCTCACAGATGTGGAACAGGCACAGAATGAGCAAGGTGGCCAGCACCGAGTCCTGGTGGCGCTGAACCGGATCGGCGAGCTGCGCGTTCAGCGACTTGATGGCCATGGACTTGTGGTAAAGCTCCTCCCGGGTCGGATCCTGGGGGTCCCGGATCCCGTACCGATCCTGGAAGGACGTGTCGGTCAAGGCGCGGTGCGCGATGGACGACATGCGGGCGGGTTCTGTCCTCTCCGTGGACATGATCTTGGCCTCCCGTCTCTGCCTCAAATTGCTGGCCGCCAGGGCCGCGATGGCATGCTGGAGCGTCTCGCTCTGCTGCGCCAAGCGCAGGATGCGGGTGCGATATGGATTGGTCGGGCTGTCAAAGGCCACAATCACGGGCGCAATGACCTCAACAAAGTAGCTAATCAGGAATCGGATTCGGGGTGTGCGTCCGACAGACTGTTCCAAGAGCAAGTCCGGGAGCGAGATGGCAAACGGGCTCTGGAGGAACGACCACGAGCTTTGCGAATAGGTCGAGACGGGGGACTGGTTCGAGTAAACACTCGACTCGGAGTACACTTGCTCGACGACGTCGTCGTCTTCTTCTTCGTCTGCTGCGCGCCGCTTGCCGGTGACAGCGGGTGGCCACTCCGCCAGCACGGGAGCCGGATTCGGTTCGATCGAAAGACTGCCGGTCTGTTGTTGATAGCCGGTCGAAGTGTCGAGCGCCGGAACCCATGGCTGTGCACTCAGGTCTCCTGACGTGCTGGAAATCCCTTGTTGATAGTCAGGTACACACACGCCGCCGCCATCCGAAGAAAGTTGATTGGGGAAGGGATCGCTGATGACCAGTCCGGGTTGAGAGAAGGGGGGCTGTGGAGGAAGTCCGTCGAGCACGGGGGGATTGGTCATTCTGGGGAGCGTAAGAAGGAATGTTATTATTATTATTGGGAATGTCCGTCGTCGACCAATTGTCGGTCCCTTGGGTATTTGCCGACGGATCTGAGGGTGGAGATTGTGTCTCCGTCTTCTGGGTCGCCGATACGGTCTCTGATGAGTCTGCAGAAGATTCCTGTTTGCTTCGAGATTGCTGGGGCTTGGCCTCGTTTCCGGAGGTGCTCTGCTTGCGAGGCTTCTGCGGTGCAACGGCCTGGCCTCCCGACACGGGGAGCGAGAGCCCGCGAAGCTTTCCACGGCTGGCGACTCCAACGCCCCAGGTCAGGGTGGTCTTGTATCCCGAACAGTCTTTGCCCAGGTCGAGGCACTGCGTGCAATAGGGACGTCGTCGGTCACACTTGGTGCCGCGGCTGGCACAGGTGAAGCAGTCTTCGGCCGCACCGCTGCCTGCCGTTCTCTTCCGTCTCTTTCGCGGAGCAGCAGTCGATGCAGGATACGCAGGGTCTGCTGGCGGTGCCGGAGCACCGTCAGCCGGGCGATTCGAGGGCATCACACCGGACGAGACGGCCTGGCGGGCCATCTCATTCAGGGGGCACGGCGTTGGGAAGGGATGGAATGCGGTTGCAGGCGTCCATGGACTGGAGGCATGTCAGTCAGCGCGAGAAGCGTCTCTGTTTAAGCATGCGGACGAGGAGAGAAGCGGAGGGCAGGCTTCAGGGCGGCGCAGGAGCCAAGAGGTTTGGGGGAGGATCACGCAGCTAGCACGCGCAGGGCATGGCCTTCTTCTCCTGATAAGCGGGGAGCCCCGCACCGTCACCTGCATTACTCAGCAGGCTCAGGCTAAAGCAGCGATCGGCCATGGCGCGAAGGATCATATCATCTCATCCTGCAGGCCCATGATCCTCAGCGAGGCTAGTTCCAGAAGCAGTGTTCTGCATGATGTCCTAGTGGCGGACACGTAAGACTCCATTGCAAACCGAAAAGAAGAGCTTCGATCAGCCATGTGCTCGATGGATTCTCCGGCCAACGGCGGCGCAGGCGATCCTCGCGCGGCGATAGGCGGGACAGGCGAGAGGCTTCTCGGGGCTCTGGCGCCGGCAGCCATCCGGTTTGGTTCCATGCTGCGAGACTTGGCTTCTGCGAGGACTTGTTGGCTCGTCGGTGGTGCTATGCGCCATGCGGGTGGTGTCATGGATTAGCAGAGCATTAGTCATGATCCCTGTCCCGGAAGAATCCGCCATTGCTTATCCTGGCATTCGACAGTAGTCCATCATGCAGCAGACGAACTATCATGAAGATATTCCATGAAGATATTCATTCCATCCTGCTGGCTGCTTAGTCAGCAGCAAGCGCGAGTCCTCGAGCCATGTGATCGATCGGCAGCCGCTTCCACGCGGATCCTCCAATCAGGCTGCTTACACGGGACTGGCACGAGAGCAGCAGCTGAGCATCGATGGATCCCCCAAATGTTTCACCAACGCACTTCTGTCTCCATGTCGTCTGTCGATCTCGTCCCACCCACCGCGACAGATCACATCAGCCAAGTCGGGCTCTCGAGGGAGCGCTCCGCTGCGCTGTCGTCGACCCAGTCGCGCGTCCAGCCAATGAGCGCGCGCATCGCGGCCGCTAAACAGCAGACGCGCGGAAGAACTGACCTCCTGGCTCCAGCCTCCAGCTCGAGCCAGCCAGCCCCAGACTTCTTCACGATGGCTCGCGTTGTTGCTCCATCCTGGGCGGTGAATTCAATTGACTGGCTGTTTCTGTTTCTTCCATTGTGTTCCTTCGCGACCTACATCCAGGTGTTGGTATCTTGGCCGCGGCTGCACCATGCTGACCGGCACCAGGAAACTCCGCTCCCTCCTCTTGGTCGTCGCGGCCTTGTTTTTCATTGCCTCGTCCATCTACATCTACTGGAGGCCCTCGAATCGTTTCTATGCCGCCCACTATGCCGACTCGCCCGTCGACCCGTCCCTGGGCCGCCAGATTGCCTTCTGGAAAGCCTTCCGCGCCGTTCTCGAAAAACATGCCCCCGACTGTCCTTCGCCCCAGCGCGAGCAGGCCGCCGGTGCCATTGGTTTCAATCCCATCGATGCCCCTCCCCGCCCGGACCTCGTCCTCTTCCCGGAGACCCATGTCCAGAAGATGCGTGATGCGCATGCCAGCTTTGTCGACGAGATCAAGCAGTCCAAGAACCTGAAGCCCATTCACACCCCCGGCACCCGCGGCATCGTGTCGACGGCCGGAGGGTCCTATTTCCCCGTGTCCCTGGCCTCCATCCGAATGCTGCGTCGCACCGGTTCGACCCTGCCCGTCGAGATCTTTGTCAAAGACGCCAACGAATACGAGGCTCATCTGTGTGAGGAGGTCCTTCCGGAATACAACGCCAAGTGTGTCATCCTCTCCGAGCTCCTGGGGGGTACCCGGAATAAGCAGGTCGAGATCGCCCATTATCAGCTCAAGATCTTTGCCGTGCTGTTCTCGTCCTTTGAGGAAGTCATCTGGATGGATGCAGACTGCTTTCCCCTCCACAAACCCGAACATCTCCTCGACTCGAATCCTTTCAAGTCAACAGGCATGGTCACCTGGCCGGACTTTTGGGCGTCGACTGCGTCCCCGCTTTACTATGAGATCTCCCAGCAGCCTGTTCCGCCGATGACGCTTCGAGCATCATCCGAGACGGGCGTGTTCCTCATCTCGAAGAAGACGCATTTCTTCACGCTGCTCCTCGCGGCGTATTACAACTACTATGGCCCCTCCCATTACTTTATGCTGCTGTCCCAGGGAGCGCCGGGCGAAGGTGACAAGGAAACATTCCTCCAAGCTGCGTCGGCTCTGGGCGAGCCCTTTTACGCGGTCAGTGAGCGTGTCCAAGCAGTGGGACATGCCAAGGAGGGTGGAGGCATCGCGGGCTCCGCCATGGTCCAGTCGGACCCGGTCGAGGATTACCGGTTGACCAGCGAGGGGAAATGGCGAGTCAAGGATCCGTCCGTGGCCAAACCGCCCCCGGTGTTTTTCATCCATGCCAACTACCCCAAGTTCAACCCGGGAGACAATCTCTTTGGCAACAACTGGGAGACGGCCCCGACGCTCAAGCCCGACGGCAGCTTGGGAAGAGCGTGGGTGGTTCCGCCCGAGACGATCCGGGCGTTTGGGTACGACGCGGAAAAGGCCTACTGGGAGGAGATCAAGTGGGTGAGCTGCAATCTCGAGCGAAACTTCAAGTCGTGGCGAGGCAAGTCGGGCATCTGCAACCAGGTCCTGGATTACTGGAACAGTGTATTCGCGCAGCCTCATGACGATGATCCAAAATTCGATGATTAATCGGTCGCCACTGTCCCAGGCGAGCAGTCGTGTTCTATATCTGCAGCCAAATCCACATCAACGCGCCTTGCCTCGAACAAGCCATCAGAGTCAGACGGAGGGACTCCTGATTCAGCTGAATCAACTGGCAAGGGTTGTCCAAGGTGGACCAAAGTTATGCAGCACTGGCCCTTCTATAGCAAGAACGAAGCATTACCATGCTTTGATCCTGCAGTTGGGCCATACAGTTGTCTTAGTACGGAGTAACCAGAGACATTCAAGTCATTCGACTCAAGTCATTCGAGCGTCAGTCTCTGGTGCAACGACATTTTATCTCAATCTCAATCTCACCTCCGCAGCTGCATCCATCCATCCATCCGATGATCGATGATCGATGATCGACAATCGACAAGACTCACCTTTCGTCCAAAGTCTGTACCTGTACACAAAGACTGGTCTGGTCCATGCATAGCCGCGTATATATATAGATATATAGCAAGGCAGGTAGCATCTTCCTGATTCGGGATGTACAGTATGTATGTATGTACAGTACATGTACATTACACTGGTTGACTGAACTAATATACCGGGCATGATTTGATTGATTGTATAGAATTCTCTGAGAATGGACTATACTATGGCTATAGACATAGAGAGCGAACGTATTATAGACATGGAGTGATACCTCTTTCTAATCTTTTTTATTTTTCCCCATCTGGACATCTTCGAAGTTTTATTCTGTACATGCATAGATACAATACTAGAAGATAGAAATAACCTAGCGAAATAAAAAAAAACAGAAAAACGAAAGACGTACTTGCACAGTGCATACATACATACTTACATACAGTCTGTCAGTCAGTCAATGAATCACAAGAACCACCAACAACAAGACTAAGATAACAAAGAGCACATAGGTAGAGGATATGAAAATAAAATAGAAATTTCATAAGAAAGTAAAATAAAAATGGATGGTTTTGATTTCAATTTTCTCATTCCTTTTCTTTAACAAAAATTAAAAAAAAAACACTTCAATAGAATTCTTGTTAGTTATCTATCTCACCATACTTTCCTCCATTCCTTCCTTTCTTCTTCCCTTCCCACTACCCTACCCCTTGGTTGGTTTTTTTTTTTGAATTTAACTACATACATCATAAAAATATCAAATTTCAAACGCTCTCTCAATCAATCAATCAAATCAAAGCAAATCAACTGCTGCAATAGAACAGACGTTCATGTACTCTCTCATGTGTTTTTTCTTGTTTTTTCTCGATGATGAATGAAAGAAAGTGAAAGAGAAACGTACAAACCTGTTATTCCATTCGCTGCCAGATGAACCTCGACGATTTGTTGCTTGATAGCTCATCTCATGGCAGTGGAAAGATTGCTCTTGTTCTTATTCGGACCGCCGCTCAACTCGTGTATTTGCTTTCCCAATACCTCCTGTCTAGTCTTCGTCTGATGAGTCTGGAATCCTTGGTTCGGGCTGCGGCTCTACCAGCCATTTATGCAGCTTCCACCTCGCTAAGAGCGACCTTCTTTCCCAACTGTGGCCTTTCACCCGCACTGGCGTCTTGCCATGGCAGGAGAGGGCGAGTTCCCAGTCATCTTTCCTCTTGAAAACAGTCTGGCAGCAGAGATCGTGCACGTACGCCATGGACAGGACTTCTCCGTCGGGGCCTCGGGCCTCAGTGTCTTGTTTTTTGACAGAGGCCACTGTCTTCTCCATTGCCGTCTTCCATACTGGATCGTTGTCGCGGACGTCGTGCGTGTCACGAACCCTCCACGTGCTGTACCGGTGACCGACAATTTGGAGCGTGTCGAATAACGCTGTGTGTTCCGGCCGGAGGATGTCGAAGAACCCCCAGAGGAAGTTCTTGCTACGCAGATCGGAGGTAACGTGCATGACCCTCAGGCGTTTTGCGGGTGTCAGCGCCAACATAAAAGCGCTCTGTGCGTCCAGATTAGCAGACTTCTTCTTTTCCAATCTTTGATAGGTGAGATGATTACCATTTCTTTCTGGTTCATCGCGCAACTCAGCTCTTCGAGATTAACGCAATTCTGCATCAACCATCGCAATGCACGAGGACTGAGAAATGCCCTTCCATGGTCACACTCTTCCGGAAGACGAAGATATCTCAAGGACGCGCAATGAGTCTCCAAGGTCCATTCCAGGTTCAGCAAGACACTCCGTCCCCAGTAGTTGAGACATAGTGTTTCCAGTCCCGAAAAACACCGAAGAAACTCCACCAGAGTCTCGTCGCCCATGTCTGTAGTCAATGACTTGAGCGACGGCGGGTTTCTCTGCAGAATTGTCCACAGTAGTTGGACGTTCGGCCCATCGAAAGGCTCCCAATGAAGCGACCTCAGAGTCTGCATATCGACAGCCTGGATGATGTCTGTGACGTCCAGGACGTTCATGGCCACGCATTCCAGTGAAACAAGGCCCAGCTTTTTGCCAGACCGGGCGACTGGTTTGAAGACGTCAGTCGGTCGATCATGTATGCCCCTCCAAAGCTTCAAGTGACGAAGCGTATCCCGTACTGACATAAATAACGTCGAGAATTCTTGATCGCATTGGATGATGTTCGCGTCGAAGGAGAGGGACGTGAACGGACAGCCGATGAGAGGGGCGATACTGCGCTGTGCGGATCTATTTGGATAATCTTTCAAGGTGAACCTCGTAATTGGTTTACTGGCAAGCAGCTGCATGATCTCTACGCAGAGAGGCAGATTGGAGTTCCATATAAATTCCTCGAGTCTAGGCATCACCCAAACAGCATTCGCAATCAGATTATTCACTTCCGCGTCAATCTCGGGTTCCGCACTCGGTGACGGAGGCGTCCAGTCCAGGACGTAGTAGACACAATTCAGCTCGAAGATCCGGACGGCCTCTGCCTGATGGCGTTCGTTGAGAACTATAGACTCGATGGCCCACCTCCAGCGGAGACAATCGTCACTGTCCAGACCAGCAAACACCGAGGTATACTCCACGTCGATAGCAACGTGTCTATAGAGGACCTTCGTGCCGATGGCATTGAACAATTTGGAGACAACGCAAACCTCAACCAGATCGGTTTCTTCTAGCTAGAAGGGACAGGTCCGTTAGCTTTTTCGCCAGTCATGACGCTCCTCTTTCTTTCTTGAGCCCGGCACGTACATAGCCGATGATGTTCTCCCATATCTCGATGGGCAGACCGCCGCTCATCCTGTCTCGAAGGTTGAAATTCGACGTCTCTTGTTGTTGGCTTGAGAAGGCGATGAGTGTCAAGGCAGGAGGAGGCTCGAGTGAACAACGTGGGCATGATGTGTTGTTGGAGATTGGAAATAACCCGCAGGTGGATGGTCTAAGGCTTCATATTTATAGTCGTACAGATCAGGATGGAAGCAACGAGTGAATGAATGCTCAGAGATTTCTTTCTCGGCAAGAAGTACGTTTGGCTGACTGCACGCAGGAGGCCAAATTGCCCCCATAGCAGGCAAATTCCGCACGAGAGTGAGATTGGCGGCATTCGTCTGCATTCATCTGAGTGAAGTTCACGATGATGAGCAACATAGTCATCTGTAGTCAGTCATTTTGTGGCTAAATTTACATCACGAGGCACAATATACAGGGATCAGGTGAAAGAGAGACAGCAAGAATCGTCAGGATTTCCGTTGAAAAGATGATAGCTTCTCTAGCTGTCACTGAAAGTGAATAAATTATTTGTTCTTTGTTTTTCTGACATGCCAGAAGGAGCAAATGCAAAAACTATTATGAGATGATACAGGAAGGAGCTATCCAGGATCTGCAAGCAAGGAAACTGCCAGCCCTAGTCCAGCCGTCTTGTAACGTGATCGCACATCACTGATAACCATACTTGAGTCACCAGCTGGTCTTGTCTCACCTGTAATTTTATTCATTCCAGGCAGTTGCCATATAGTTAAGCAAATACATATGTAATCTGCAGAACAGCCCGCTGTACTTATGCCTAACATACCTACTGTACATGTACATACATATCTATACGAGATCCAGATCCGCCATATTTCAATATACACTTCGCATAGCTATGTTCGCTATGCATTAAACAAACCAATAACTAATAAATAAAGGGAATTATGAAATTCACCGAAGGCTGAGATTATCTCATGCTCGTCTCTTGCAGCCTTAGTTCGTCTTCCTTCTTCAGCTCAGCATCGATTTTGGCGCCCTTGGAAGGTTCGTAGCCGTGGAGTTGGGCCTGTTGCAGCCGTCAATTAGCATATACCTACCTAAGGTATGTACTGAGATGATATATCTGGGAAAAGACGAAGGGTGCGTACCGGCAGAGTAGGGTCCTTCTTGACTGGGTCCTCCTGAGTATCATAAGGCTCGTGGCTGCCGGGTTTCCCCTCTTTGTAGCGCCGTCGCTCGTTGATCTCATGGCGAGAGACCGTGCGCTGCTGATTTGACTCGTAGAGGAATCTTGCCCCGACGTTGGAAAGGCCGCCGCTGCTCATTGTTGCAATTTGTCGTGTAGTAAGTAGATGATGATGGCGTAGAGAAATGCAATATGAAAAGAGAATTCTGACTTCAAGAAGTGACAGGAACAAGCCTTCTTTTACCAGCTTTGGGCTCAGAAAGGGCAAAAATTAGACAGATTCGCCCCCAACACACGATTTATAAGAGTGGCTCTGGTTAGGGCTGTGATGTCAGTGACGAACCACTGACCTCACTTGGGTCTGGCTGTGAGCGGCTGCGGGGATTCTGAACCATGGCGACAGTGAAGCAGGCAAGACAGACGTGATAGAGACCACAGGAATATGTGCTGCAGTTACAACTGGAATTATCGTCTGTTGCTGGTGTTAATACAAGTCCAACCTGTCAGGACCACTCCGATAGGAAAACTCCGACAGCAGTCACGGTATCATCTTTATGTAAAGCACAGTGAAATCATAATTCTAGTTGGCCCATAATCTAGTGATCGATTGTATTGGCCACACCGGCAACGATATCTATACTTTTATACCCCCCAAAAACTGTTAACATCACACATAAGTAACATAAAGGCGTCGAGTATCTAAATCCTCTCTGAAATTACCCCCATACCATGTCACATTTTTAAAGTCAAGTCCGTTGCAGATTACTCCATCTCAATCGTGCCCGGCGGCTTACTCGTCACGTCGTACAGCACGCGACACACGCCGTTGACTTCGTTGACGATCCGGCGGCTGACTCGCTTCAGGAACTCTCCATCAAACGGAACCAGTCGGCGGTCATGAAATCGGTGGTCTCGACCGCGCGCAGAGCAATGACCTGCTCGTGCGTTCGCTTGTCGCCCATGACACCCACCGCCTTGACTGGGAGTAAGGCTGCAAAGGCCTGGCTGATCTTCCTGTAGAGACCGGCAGCTTTGATCTCCTCGATGAAGATGGCGTCGGCCTCACGAGCGATCCGCAGTTGTTCGGGAGTAACTTCTCCCAGAATGCGAATGGCCAGGCCAGGGCCGGGGAACGGATGTCTCCAGACCAGGTCTTCTGGAATTCCGAGATTCGTTCCCAGCGCACGAACTTCATCCTTGAAGAGCTCGCGCAGAGGCTCGATAAGCTTCAGGTGCATGCCCTCGAGCAGGCCTCCCACATTGGTGGTGGGTTTTGATGGTTGCGCTGGGGCCCTTGAATGAAATGCTCTCGATCACGTCCGG